GTCAAAGTCTTGGGAAGTGGTCTCCTCAGAAACCCACCTGCTTTGATTTTGGCCCTCACAGATATCGAGCGATTTGTATGAAGTATATGTATTTAGTGCCTTTGTGTACCAATGTTTATATGTTGAAATAAATAAATAAATAACTGTTGACCAAATTATTTACTTATCAACTAGAGTTATTTTAGAATTTTCAATGAATTCGTAGCCTTATTACATTGAACACAGGTGTGTTTGGGTACATAAACTATAGTTTTGACATTTACGACAACAAAAAAGGTGCCGAATAGTCAAATGTGTTAATAATCAATGTGAATCTAACTTGTTAGTTTTAACACTTATAGTTCATTATAATGAACTGGTTAGTTATTTACTCATTTACCAAATTAATAATATCAAGTACCTACATACATGGATTTGTTTAAGTTACTTAATACATATACGTGTATTTATGAAATAAACAACCTTTAAAATTTCAATAGTTGAAATCATGAGTCAATTGAAGCTAGACCACCATGGAAAACCTGGAAACATTGGACGACCGTTAGACCCCAGTATGGGGCTCCTCAGCAATGCGCGTACACGACCCCCCCCCGCGAGATTCGAACCCAGGACCAATCGATTTCGCGCGTGAGCGCTTGACCATTAGACCACTGAGCCGGCCAGCATCCAACGGTGTTAATGTCTAACTTCAACCTCATGTCTTCACAAAACCCCTTCTGATAACCTTGAAAATGTAATCTAGTTAAGGGAAAATATTAATTCGATTAAATTTTGTTTATTCAATTATTTTGTAATGTTTCAAATAGTTTCTATTATACTCATTACTAGTTCCGGTTACACTAATCAATAGAATTCATTGAATTGTTTATTGTTATTGAACTGATTGATCAGTTTTTTCCCTCACAAACCAGAAGTGGAGATTTTTTTTGATATTTTTAGTTAGTAAAGGGTTGTGGAGATTATCAAGTTTTTGATCGAGATCATGAGCCAATTGATGTTAGACTAACATTGAAAATCTGGAAGCACTAAGTGTCCTGGGTTCGAATCCTGCGAGTCGGATTGGGGATGCGCAGTGCTTGAGGAATGCCACAGTAGGACGAAACGGTCGTCCAGTGCTTCCAGGTTTTGAATGGTGGTCTAACATTCAATATCTGAGGCCGTCAACATTAAGATAAAACAAGGATCAGCGCTATCCGACAAATCATTCAAGAGATATGAAAGTAAAATTTGACCTCAACAATTCTGCATCTCATTTGTTTCATGCAGCAGAGCATGTTGACCGACACATAATAATAGAACATTGATAACGATCGTTTAGTTATTCAAGATAATGGCTTGGGAAGCATTAAATTAGAAGTTTAAAAATTTATTTTCACTCCTAGTCAAAATCTATCCGTAACCTCGTGTAAACGTCTGGTCCTTAGGGGAGTTTAATACATATCACTCGGCAGCATTCTAGCTCGAATTGAGCCTTTTTATATAAGTGGATTATATCCTTTTCTTGATTAGGTCACTAACTCCATTTTCTTGTTTGTTCACAAAACGTCTAGGACTAGGCACATATATTTGTCATACAATAAGATTTTATGAATGAAATATTTCATGTGGTTCCTAAGTCAGTTGACCAATAGTCTCTAAATAACTACAATGTGTCGCGATACTGAGTTACGTTTATCTGAATTGTCACATTATATGGGATTAGATTGAAAGAATTCAACTGATATTGTAGATTAAATAGGACAAAAATTTTACTCACTTACTTACTCTTGTTACCACTTATGGGAAGGAGCATAAGCCTCCCACCAGCATTCTCCACCGAACTCTTTTCCGGGCAATCCTTTCCAATTCTTGGCTTTCCTCTTTTCTGGTTTACTTCAGCATTCCAAGTTAGCGCTTAATTCGTGATGTAGTTTGATGATTTCCATAATGTAGTTCTTATCCACTTCCATCGTCTTTTTTTAAAATTTCATCTTCATCCGGTAATTGGTTTGTTCTCTGCCACAGTAGGCTGTTGCTGATGCTATCTGATCAATGGACATTGAGTTTCTTGCTTAAAAAAATTGTTTATAAATACCTGTACTTTTTTTTCTGATGACAGTTGTAGTAGTTCTCCACTTTTATCGTCGGTCCCAAACCTGGGTAGAGGAGGAGGATTAGGGATGGAATCAACAGTCCTATCTCGTAGAAAACAACCTTGTTAAGAAAAATAATAACAATAATTTCAACTCCATTAATGAGCTAATATTACAATTCATTTGGTATTGTTTTACTTGAATCTTCTCATTGATGTTTAGGACTGCAATTGATCAGTCTGTTATTGGCATATGTGCATATAATGCTTGTAAATTAAGACAATATCGAGGTAATACGCTCAGTATCCGCATACGCCAATAAGAAACTGATCAGTTGCAGTCTTAAACATCAATGGGAAGATTCAAGTAAAACAATATCAAGTGAATTAAACTTCACCCCATTGCACAAGCCAGTGGCTAACAGGACTCAGTAACTAAGTGGATAACTCGATGGCGTTTGAAGCGAACGGTACTAGGTTCGAGTCCCAAAGTGAAAATCAACTCTGACATACAAGTACATCCAGCTAACGTGTCCCAAATAAGACGAAACGCTCGTCCTGAATTCCACTACTAACCACTATTTATCTTTGCTTAATATTACAATTGTTTATAAGATATATCATGTGTATCATAATGTGTTCAATACCAGATTAATGTCAAACACCATACAACATGTCATTTCATCAACAAAACAATGTCAATTCATTACACACAATTAAGGACACTACATAAATCTATCAAAGAAAATAACAGTAACAAGATTTTCAAATTAAATAAATAAGTATAATAGTTGTTATGATGGTTTTTTGTTTTTCATTGTAAAACATTAAAAGTACAAAGAGAAGGATAGAAAAAAAAGAAGAAAGGAAGTTGTTTAAAATTAGGTCATAACAAATGTTTAGTAAACTGTTGTGTTGGTTTATTTTTTAAGAAAAAAAATAATCATAAATCAGTTTATTAATCAACCGTTTTAATAGTCAATCATTGAGAATAGTAGATTCACAAAATATTGTATTAAGCTATTCGATCATACGCACTGCTGACGAGTCACATACTAGGACGAAACAGTTGTCCAGGTTTTTCATGGTCGTCTAGCTTCAATTGATCCATGAAATCAACTATTAAAATATTATAATTTCTACAAAAACCCCTTTGTGACAATAATCATTTGATATTGCTTGTTTAAATCTTCCGATTGATGATCAGTCTCTTATTGGCATATATGCATCCTGTGTGGATCACCTCGATATTGCCTTAAGTCGAAAGCATTGTAAGCAAAGACGGATAGTGGCTATCAGGACTCAGTAGCTAAGTGGATAACGTGATAGGGTTTGAAGCGAATGGTACTTGGTTAGAGTCTAGGAATGAACATCAATTCTGGGTTGCAGATACATCCAGCTGAAGAGTTCTAAGCGGGACGAGACGCTCGTCCTGGATTCCACTGCTAGCCACCATCCATGTATGCTTATTTGACAACAGTTTACGTCCAGTATGCACTTTTTTGTCCATACAATACTTGGTATCATTTTATCAAGCGTAGCTGAGTTAGTGGCATTTTTTTCTCAATTTTTCATCATTTTTAACCAACCAAACAACTAAATCTAATTCTGCCAAGACTTTGACAATATCAAAGTATGTTTTGTTCTTCCAAACAAAAAGAGCCTTTGTTCGGATTAAATTTAGCTCAATAACTCACAGACTAATTTCATCAGTTTCGACTGTTTACACTACAGTTAGCAATATCATTCAAAACTTCCCTTATACTTGTATCTAACTGCATTATAATGTGTTTTATCGGTTTTCATAGTAATTACAGTAATCATTTTTTTTGTTCATCAGACAAACTGCGAAACTGTCTTAGTGTATTAAACTAGAGGTCAAATCTGAGAAACATGTTTCAAACGGTCAATATTACTAAAATATTGTGATTTCTTTTAGCTAATAAATTTCTCCATTGCTAAATTGGTGTATAAATGCACTAAGTAAAGATCATAATGCTTAATATGAGTGTGTGTTTTATTTTAAAGAATAATTTATTGATTTTAATAGTTGAGATCATGAGTCCATGGAAGCTAGACTACCATAGAATACCTGGAAGCACTAGACAGCCGTTTCTTCAGCAGTGCACATCCATGATCCCAACTCCTGAGGTTCGAACCGAGAACCTATCAGTCTCGCGCACAAACGCTTAACTTCTAGACCACTGAGCCGACTGGCATCCAATGGTATTGATATCTAACTTCAACCAATCCACGAGGTTGAGTGACACATCCACCATTGTCTTCAGTGAGTTAATATCTCACAACAGACCCGGTTGGACTCATCTGGTCACTGCTCCTCCCTAGAACTCCAGAAAATATCTCTTGGAGACCGCCACTAGTGAGCATGTGTTGATTATTATCAGAAGGGGTTTTTGTGGATATTACAGTAATTTTAATAGTACAATGGTTGAATTCATTGATTGATCTAAACTAGATCACCATTAAAAACCTGAGAACACTGAACGGATGTTTCGTCTTAGTATGGGACTCCTTAGCAATGTGTGTCTACGATCTCGCACGTGCGCGAGTCTTGAGTCAATTGAAAGTAGACCACTATGGAAAACCCGGAAGCACTGGACGGCCGTTTCGTCCTATTGTGGGACTTCTCCTCCTCCAAAAAAACTCCTGATATATTTATGTTGAATATTCAATAGATCGACAATTTAAACATGAACGACAATGAATGATATCATGTTCATTACACTGTAGAGTTTATTGTGATAAGACTTGATATCAGCTATTTGATTTAAGTTAATTTCGTGTTCATACTATTCTCTTATAATGTCTGTATATATAAACAGAACTCGATCAATTATGATCTTGAACGTTAACACTACGTTTGCTTTCTTTTGTCCTTTCATTTCAGAATTAACATTTTTCATACATTATGGTTGCTTCAGAATTTATCGGTTATATTCAATCATTTTCTGTATGTAACTTTGTTGGATTTGAAGATTTAGCTGATCGAGCAAATTTTCAATGGAATGTTATTGTACTACTACTATGCATGGTTTTAGTAACAATGAGACAATATTTTATGACTCCATTAGTGTGTTATTTACCGACAACAGTGAGTGGAGTCAATGCAGATTCTTATATTACTAATCTGTGTTGGATTGAAGGGACATTTCCTATTAATTTAACATCTGGGATTGTTCCACACAAACTACAGGAATGGGATGCACTTCGACCGCAACAAATGAGTATGTTTGATCATTTTAACATTTGTTTAGTTGTTCATAGTAGAAATGATATATGTAGAGTGTTCTAAATGTCCATTAAATATAAGTAGCTTCAGAGAATGCTTCTCCCACACGTGGAGTTGAATAGTTCTTACTATAAATGATGTTTGTTAAAGTTAAAGGAAACCTTCCAGTTATTCTTAACGGTAATGTTTTTTCACATCAAAACACCGAGATTGATCTAACTCCAAAAATTCAAAACTCCGTAAAAGTAAACACAAGTATGCAGACCCATCCTGAAGTCATCATAGGAAGCGTAAATCATAAAAGCTTCACATTCGTGGCCACCTACGGCCCCTGACTTCACTTCATCCAATGAATGAATATGGGTATACTACCATTTTTCAAAATCTCTTTTAAAGTTACATTTATCATTACTGTTATTCATCAATGTTAGTAGTGCCTTTGTTTTGTAAATTATCCACTACTGATAAGAATCAATTGTAGCAGAAAACAGTGACACCAGTCTGTGATACTTGCTGACGACACCAATATCTATATTAGTGTCTGTAATTAACAAAAATTGTATATTCAATATGTTCCAACCAGTTGACCATATTTATAAAACTTAGGTGTTATAATTCAGTGTTAGCGAAGGTCGTCTAAAGTGATCCACTCTTAATTTCTTTGTCTTGCTCTTATGTTTTACCACATTGTACTTTTCATTCTCCAGTTTTGTTTGTTTTTACAAACTATATTCTTGGTGCTTAGTTGTCATAACATTGTTTATTCATTTGAACAAAAATATTGGTACAAACAGGCATTAAAAATACAGCGCCACACAGATCACTGAATTTTTACCTGGGCTTGTATACTACCCGAGTGCACAAACCAAAACAAGTGGGTATCTTAGGAGGCCAGCGTTGGGACATTAGGTCTCATGAGAGACGGTGAACAAGAATAAGTTCATACGCAGTTTGTTTCCTCATGTTCCAGATGTCGATTTGCGCCACTGGTTTGGGATCATAATTTCCGAAATCCTCTGAACCAACCCGACTTAAGTACCGAATTTTCACTTTTCCTTCTCTCAATTTCGTGGTGAATACCCTCACTGTGAGAAGGTAGTGTGTAGAACTTCTCTGGTAATGGTTATGTACATGTGGCCATATGAGAGGAATTGGATTAGATTAGATTTTTCTCATTGTCATAGCTACCTTGATTTTTTCGTCTTGATAACATTTTCTTATTATTTTAATGTCACGCATGGCAACTTGATTTAATGTATTGAGTTAATTATTGAGTCGATGTTAAAGACTATCTTATGTCCTGGTACGGCCGAGGGTGGGAATAGTCAGCTCTCCCTCTCTAAATGTTCTCACATGGCCACGTACATACCACCACTTCCAGGGAACTCCTATTCACTGCATTCTCACGGGGCAGGGTGTTGTTTACGAAATCGAGAGAACGAAAATCGAATGTCCGGTGCTTTAACCAGGTCGGTGGATATGGAGGATCCACGCAGGGAGGTTGGAAAACCCTCATCACAAACCAACGATGTACATGGGCTGCAGGATCCTAAGGAAAAATGGCGTATATCCTATCGTTGGTGACCGGATACCATGGGACTACATCTCCTGACGTTGCTCCACTGCCTTATGGATCAGACCTTTAGGTCGAAGGCTCGGGGTGTGGTCACATAAGAAAACCACCTGCTTCAGTTTGGGCACCCGGGCAGTATCCCAACCCTCACATAAATCGAGTGATTTTTGTGGTGCATATGTATTTGGTTCCTCCTCTTACCAATGTTTGTATGTTTAAATATATAATAATAAATTACTAGAGTGAAGTGTCATGAAAATTACGGCGCTATAGACTTGTATTGATCTTTCATGCTATTCTATTTTACATTCTTATCTGAATGTTGGAATCTCTACTGAAAGCAAAATTAGTCAATTCAGAATCTCAATGAATATATCAATCACTGAATTGATTGGGAGTTTTAAGCCATAAAATTTGATTGAATTTCTAATGGTTTCAGATTATCTCGTTATTAATATTTTAACTAAATTCTGATCAGTTTTATTTGGTCTCTATGCGGATTGATTCGATATGGTCATTATATCATAAGTTTACGTAGAATAGATGGAATATAACTAGCAGTAGAGTTAATGAACTATGTTTCGTCCCGTTTGGTACTCGTCAGCTGGATATATATCTAAACTCGAGAGTTGATATTTGTTGCTTATTTAGTTGATTTTTCAATATATAAAATCCTTTGTGGTAGGCGATTCGACTAATATATATTATTATATCATTCCTAAACTTCACTGCTAAATTACAAATCAATATACTTTATTTAAGTAGTATTAGTAGTAGTTTATTTATTTATTTGAACACATAAGCATTGGTACAAGGAGGCACCAAATAGATATGCGCCACACAAATCTCATTTAATTTGTGTGAGGGCTATGGTACTGCCCGAGTGCCCAGAACGAAGTAGGTGGTTCACTTAGGCGGTCATACCCGGAGCCTTTGACCTAAAGGTCTGATCCACAAGGCAGTGAAGCAAGATGGGGAAATGCAGTGCCATGATAGCCTTTGACCATCGATTGGTTCATACGCCATTTGTTCCCTGAGGATCCTGTAGCTGATGTGCACCATTGGTTTGGAATGAGGGTTTTTGGAGTCACCGTGTCGACCAACCCGGTTAAAGCACCGGACACCCTCTTCTCGCCCTCTGAATTTTATAAACAATACCCACGGTGTGAGAATACAGTGAGTAGGACTTCCCTTGTGGAGGCTATATGCACGTGGCGATGTGAGAGCATTTGGAGAGGTAGGGCGAACTCTCCCAACTCTCGGCCTTACCAGGGCATCCGGGGGCATTAATAGTAGTAGTAGTGGTGGTGGTAGTTAACAAACACAAATGATTTGTTTTACCTTTTTAAAGAAAATCTGTTTTTTAAGAAAACTAAGTATTAAATCGTTGCCTGACTACTAATTCTTTTTCTTTCTGTTTAAGAAAAAAAATACTTGATTTATTGGGAATAACCTAAGATTATCTTAATGATTGTAGACTACTGAAGCAGTCAGGAATTTGATAATTAAAATTTAAGCACGTTATTAAATGATTGTCGATCGATTAAATTAGTGTTATTTAATCAATATTATTACCTTTCAATTTGTTTGTTTGTTATTTCATGTATTGGCACAAATATACGGCCACATTTATTATGTACCTAGAGAGAGTATTTCTTTATTGCTTTCATTCTAATCTAACTACCAGCACATTATAGTTCATATTGAATTCTTTTTGGGTATATTCTAATAAATCAACACTACCTGCTGATATAGAGAGAGACACCAATTTTATCTCGGTTCATGTTTGTTAGGTAGTGTTTTTGTTTTGTTATGTTTCGTTTGTTTGTTGGTTGGTTTATTACATTCTGTTGGTCTCATGTCAATATATGCATGTGTGTGTATGTATGTGTGTATGCGCATGAACGTGTGACTAAATCTATCTTATGAAGTAATTCAGTAGTTTGGTACCTGATTAAGATCATCATTGATTTGAATTTCAACAGTTATGTTGTAAATTTCAAATAATCCACTCGTATCGAGTTGAACGGTTGAATAGAATCATCAATTCTAAGTTATTAGAACTCTAGTTCTCATCTGATTACAGAAGTTTGTATTGTGTAGAATAGTTGAATATCTTCTAATAATAAGAACACTTGTAAGATTCAATACCTTGAACTTGATTACAGTTCTCAGCGCTAAATTTGCAAAATTGCGATAAATTTTCCATTTTACAGGCATCTAACGAGTATGTATTCAATATATATGCTCATATGGCATATCTATCTCTGAATACACAGTAATCGCCTCTTATTTGTCTTAAAAGAAATTGAAAGAGTAAAGTATATGGAACACCGTGGTGGAACATGTTGAATTACTCAATAATTATATTTCATGAAGTTACATTATTACAAGTTTTTTATTATACATAATTAGTAAATAAAAAGTAAATTGATCATATGAGAAGTCGTTTGATAATTAGGAATTCATGCACTACTCAGGTGTTTAATAATCAATTTCGGAGATTTATGAAGATTCTAATATTTTCAAAGTTGAATTCACGAGCCAATCTAAGCTAGACCACCACCATTGAAAACATTGAATATTGTCCATATACATTGATATAAACCAAGATATATCATGGCGTTTGATAGCTAATTGATATTCACGCAGGCGAACATGAGGGGGCAGGGACATTCACATTGTCCGATGTAATTTTTTTTTTAAAAATTCTGTTCTGTAAATTCATTCGTAGTATATTGTCTAATAGTTAATTTTCTCCACTACTCTGCTATTCAATTACTATAACATCTACAAAACCCCTCTTTCACTATAATCATATGGTCACTAGTGACTGTCTCCAAGAGCTATTTCCTGGAGTTCTAATGAGAAACAGTGAACAGTAGAGTTCAACCGGATCTGCTGTGAGATAGTAACTCACTGAAGACAATGGTGAATGTATCGCTGAATTTGGTGGATTAGTTGAAGTTAGACATTAACACCATTGGATACCGGTTGGTTTAGTAGCCTAGTGATTAAGCGTTTGTGCACGAGATCGATTAGTTCTGGATTCGAATCTGGCAGGGGCATGATCATGGATGCGCATTGCTGAAGAGTCCCACAAATGGACGAAACGATCATCTAGTGCTTACAGGTATTTCATGGTGGTCTAGCTTTAATTCACTCATGAATTCAATCATTAAACTTACTAATACTATCCACAGAACCCCTTTAGATGAAAGGTAAGGCTGCTAGTATGTTAATGAGTTAATTGTTCGTTACATTTTTGATATTTATACTTTTATATTTTTAGAAATCAATAACGTTTATCTAAATCATTGTTTCTTTTCTTTTCTTTTTTTATCTTCTTCTTAGATTATTATCAATGGGTACCATTAGTATTAGGTTTACAAGCTATTCTATATTATATTCCACGTATTATATGGAGTATATTCACATATAATCGTACTGGTACAGATTTACAAAATTTAATACGTCAAGCTAATTTAATTACTAAAGAAGATGGTGAAAAACGTCAAAAAATGGTACAACATATTGCTAAAACATTAGAATTATTATTATTTAATCGTCGTGAATATCGTACAATGGATACATTAAGTAGTTCATTTCGTCGTTCATTATCATTTATGCCTGGTAAACGTCATGGCAACAATTTAATTTATGTTTATTTAACAATTAAAATTTTATATTCAATTATTGGATTTTTTCAATTATATTTAATGTATTTTTTTTTACGTTTTAATTCATATGAAGGTTATTGGTTATTTGGTTATCGTTTATTAACTGATATTATAAATGGTAAACAATGGACAGAAACACAAATTTTTCCTAGAGTTGGTATGTGCCGGCATACATTACAACATGTTGGTGCTAGTAATACATTATTTGCACAATGTGTATTACCAATTAATATGTTAAATGAAAAAATTTATATTTTTTTATTTTTTTTTCTTGGTTCTATTATGTTATTAACTATATTAAGTATACCATTATGGTTATATCGTATGGGTTTAAAACAACGTCAAAGACATTTTATTAAAAGATTTTTAAAAATTGCTGATGTTTATGATCGTAATGATCCGAAAATGGCATTACTTACTGATCGTTTTATGAATGAATTTTTAAGAAAAGATGGACATTTTATATTACGTATGTTATCAATGAATGCTGGTGATTTAATTACTGTAGAAATTGTATGTAATTTATTTGCTGATTATAAAAAACGATTTATCGGTATTGATTTTCGTGGTCCACCATCTATTGTATCGAAATTACATAATAATAAATATCATCATCATCATGATTTGGATGGTTACATAACAACAACAACAGCACAACAACAACATGCAAATGATTTAACAAAATTAAATAATCTTGATAAAAATCCATCTGGTTTTATAAGATTAGAAGAAGGTGGTACAGCGAATTTACGTCAACGATCAGCAATTCCATCGGCACCAATTTATTCAGAGAATTCAATTCCACCAGCATATCAATATGCAACTGGTATAAAAGATTCAGAAATTTATCCATTAAGTATTGTACGAAATATGCCACGTGATACTACTAGTACACCAATTGAAACTAATAATAATATTACTAATTCCAATCAATATACTCCTAAAAAAAATGATGATAATATTATTGTTCATGAAAAAGAACAATTGAATAAAGTTCCAAAATATACTCCAACGGAAGTATAATATTTTCAATACATTTATTACTAGGAAGGGGGAGGGGAAAGTGAATGTGCAAGGGGGGCGTGTGTGTGTGTATCTGGGTGGATGGATGGATGCATATAAATAATCCAATGTGTGTGTATGTGCGTGTGTGTGTGTGGTCACTTCTTAATTGATGGCATATCTTATATGATTGTTTAATCATTGTTAATAAATTATAATAAATAACTAATGTTGGTTATTCCATTTATAATCTTTATGTACGCTATGTCTATGTTATATAATGTGAATAACAAACATTTTTTTGTTTGTTCATATGTTCATGTTTGACTATTCTTGTTTACTAGACATTAAACATTGTAATTACTATATACTATGTGTTCCTTCATTTCTCCTTTTTTTTGTATACGAATTTTGTTTGGTTTTTCTAAAAAAAAATTTTTTTGTAACATTAGTTTTGATGTATGCGTTTTTCTTCTATTCTAGATACACAACTGGTTAATGGTTTAAAACTGATGTATCTGTCGATGTTTTACGATGATTATGAAGATTTACTTTAAGTTCATGATATTTAAATCTAGGAGTATACTGAATGTCAGTTACGTTTTAGTGTAGAATTCCTTGATGTTTTAGGAATATTGAATCTACAATCTTCAGTTCTTTTATTGTTAACGAGTAGTAGCATAACAGATATCAAGGTTATTTCAATGCTTTTTGATGTTTAGTAGTATGTGTGATTGAAATAGATTTGTGATTTAAACTATCAATTTAATAGTGTTCATAATAGTCATCATTTCCGGCGACAATTCATCATTTAGAACATATGATTCGTTTAATGGCTTATGGAGCTCTACAATTTTTTCTAGATAGGTTGCATGGATATTAAGGTATAGCGAAGTAACCGAATTGATAGTATTTTTGCTTTATAGAAAGCATTCAACCATATAAATCTAGAAGAGCTTAAAAAATATAGAATAGCTAGCCAACTGACTGAACAGTTTATTACATAATAATGGATCTTGCTGTCACAGGTAATTTAAAAATTATAAAAACAATAGTTATAAAACATTTATCATATCAAAATATCAGAAGGGGTTTTGTGGAGATTTTAGTAAAACCTGGAAGCACTGGGAAACAGTTTCGTCTTAGTGTGTGTCTCAGCAGTGCTCATCCACGGTCCCGCCCCCTGCGAGATTCGAACCCAGGACCTATCAGTCTCGCGCACGAGGGCTTAGACCACTGAGCTGGCATCCGACGGTTTTAATGTCTAACTTCACTAGGACGAAACGTTCGTCCAATGCTTCTAAGTTTTCCATGGTGGTCTAGCTTCAATTGACTCATAATTTCAACTATTGATATCAAAATGTTTTAAAAGACGTAGTGAAATCGATAACCAAATTATCTGTAGTTAGTTGTCAAAACCGAAAACACAATTATTATTTTTTCACAAAACATGGCCATTCTGTATTATTTTAATAACAGTATGCTTTAAGCAACCACATAATTGGTATACGTTATGATCTCTACACCTATGATAATGAATCTGCCACATTTACTACTGCATTCCCGTTCAGTATACCTTTATTACTTATATATTTCAACACATTGGTACAAGCGGGCACCAGATTTATATGAGCCACACAAATATCATTTGATTTGTGTGAGGGCTGTGATACTGCCCAGGTGCCCAAACCGAAGCAGGTGGTTTTCATGAGGAACACAACCGGAGCCTTCGACCTGAAGGTCTGATCCATAAGGCAATGAAGCAACATCAGGTTCATATGCCGTTTGTTCCCTCAGGATCCTGTAGCCGATGTGCACCATTGGTTTGGAGTGAGGGCGCTTTTTATCCTCTGAATTTCGTAAAGAATACCCGTGTTGTGAGAATGCAGTGAGTAGGACTTCCCTTGTGGAGGCTATATACGCTTGGCGATGTGAGAGCATTTGGAGAGGGAGAGCGAAATCTCCCCACTCTTGGTCTTACCAGGGCATTCGGGGGCGATTCAGTATACCAGGATCAGTAGGTAGAAGTGTTTTCATATTATTTATTATTCATGACGTGTGTTTAATGTAAGACAACAATATGAATTAGTTGGTAATCCCACTAAGTATACAGTTGTGACATTTTCGATAAGAAATAATTCAATATATTAATAAATAATTCAGATTAGTAGCTAAGTAGTGCTGACCTGATTTTATAGATCAAGTTCCAATGTGGATACAAGTTTAGGTTTTTCAATATCTCGTGTACTATGCGTTGATTTGATGTAGCTGCTGATTATCGTTAAAAAAAATTCCCATGACCCCGGTTTCGTACTAGTTGACAGTCATTAGTAATGGATATTTGCAAAGTAAATATCATAGTTTTACAGAAGGTGAATCGCCACCCGAATGACTCGATAGAAACACTTTAGAATGCGGTTTCAAATGTCGCGGATCTGAATCCCATTAGGAGTATCAGTTTTCTTAAGATTACAGCTATGTCTTGCAGAAGAGACAATAAATAATCTAATCACTCCTATCAATCTCTACATACAACCTTTGAGTAGTTATAGGTGTAGATATCGTGAATCATTTTCAATCCTGATAATGGAAGGAGACAACATTGGAAATGATTTTTTGATAAAGTGTAAGACAACGTTAATAAAACTTCCTCGGTCTTTGTCCAGTATGTGCCGATGAAAGGTAATAAAGATCTTCACGGAAAGCGATACAATCATACCAAATTTATTATCTAATTTATTTAGGACTGCAATTAGATGCATGTATAAAACAGCAAGTAGTAGTAAAAAAAAATTTCTGAAGCTCACTTAAATGTTAAGGAATGTCAATCATCTGAGCTAATGGTATTATTCTCCCCATAAACATGTCATTTGTCAGACAGAAACATAACTGAAAAACTTACGCCTGTTACCCCTTGTAGAGGAGCATACGTCGCTCATTAGCATTCTCCACCGAACTTTGTCCCAGGCAATCCTTTCCAGTTGCTATTTATCCTGTTGTCTGCTTCCATGTAGTGTGTTCTTTGACCTTCCTCTTTTCCGTTTCCCTTCAAGAATCCAAGTTAGAGATTACCTCGTGATACAGCAATTTATATCCTAACCACTTCCAACTTCTTTCCCTAATTCCTTCCTTATCTGGAAGTTGGTTTGTCCCCCCCCCACAGTAGGCTCTTGTTCATGGTATCCGGCCAACGGATATTGAGAATCGTGCATAGACTATTGTTGATAAATACTTGTACTCTTTTGATGAGGGTTGTTATAGTTCTCCAAGTTCCAGCTCCGTACAATAGAGCTGTCTTGACGTTCATATTGAAGATTGTGACTGATATTGATTGACAATTTTTTTAGTTCCGTATGTTATTCACTTTTAGGAATGTTGTCCTTGCTTAGTCAATTCTTGCCTTTATGTCTACATCAGGATCTCCACGTCCGTCGATGATATAATTCAGTTAGGTATTTGAAAGTTTCCACCTCTCCCAGAGTTTCTCCATCAAATGTTATTGAGTTGGTGTTCTCCATGTTGTATTTGAGGACCTACTGCTTCACAGGTTGCTGCTATACTGTCTTCATCTGTATTTGTTGGTGTGTATGAGGTCGAAGATCTAGATCATTTATGAAATCCAAATCTTCTAGTTGCATCCGAACTGTCCATTATGTTATGTGTTTCCTCTCAGATGTCGATCTCTTCACAATCCAGTCAACCATCAGAAGAAAGAGAAAGGGAGAGAGTAAGCAGCCTTGTCTATCACATGTTTTCACCTACAATGATTCTGTCAGCTGTTCTCTATGCACCACTTTGCAGTGTGATCCGTCGTATGAATTCAGGATGATGTTGACGACTCTCAGGTACACTATAGTGTCGAACAAGTTTCCACAATGTTCTGTCTACACTGTCAAATACTTTCTCATAGCCAATGAAGTTGATGTATAGTGAAGAGTTTCATTCAATTTACTACTCAACAACGATCCGTAGTGATGCGATTTGGTCTATGCACGTCCGATTCTTACGGAATCCAGTCTGTTGATTTCGAAGTTGGGTGTCTTCTGAATCTTTCATCCGGTTCAGCAACGCTCTGTTGAACAATCTTCCTAGTACTGACAGTAGTGTGATGCATCTGTAGTTCTCACATTTGCTGAGATCTCTCTTTGGTATCTTGATGTGGTGTCCTTCTTTCTTGTCTGTCGGCATTTGTTCTTCCCGAATCTTCCTGAATAGAGTGTGGAGCATGCTTGCAATTACTTCTATGTCTAACTTTAGAGCTTCAGCTGGTATATCATCGAGCCTGCTGCTTTCCCAAATTTTGATTTGTCTGACGGCCATCCTGATTCCTTCGATTGTTGGAGGAGTTACATCTATTGGAAGGTCTGTGTGGGCTGCCTCGATGTCTATCCAAGAGTTCTTCAAATTACTTCACCCAACTATTCCTCTGTTTTTGAATCTCAGTGATTGATTTGCCTTGTTTGTTCTTGACTGGTTTCTCTGGTTTACTATATTTTCCTGTCAGTTTCTTCGTCATGTCATATGGTTGTGACATATTTCCTTCTTACTGCTTTTCCGCCGCCTTTCGGCTCTAATGCTATTCTTCACTTGCTTGTTCGCTTCAGTGTATTCAGCTTGTACCTTGACTTTCTCGTTTGTTGTTGATTGCTGTCTTCTTGTTTTTCCTTTCTTGAATCTTGTCTAGGGTTCCCATAGAGATCCATTCTATATGATGGTGCTCCTTGCAGCCCAGCACCTCCTGACATTTCGAAGTTAGTGCTTCCCTGATCCCATTCCAGTTTTCCTCTACAGTAGTTTCTTCTTTCAGCAGATCCTGTAAGGCTTGGAACCTGTTGTTGAGAGTTACCTTGAATTCATTGAGTTTATTAGTATCCTGTAGGGAGGTCGTATTATACCTTTGTGTTACTGTTTCTCCAGTTGTCCAGTTTTTCTTTAGCTTCAGTTTCATCTTGGCAACCATCAATTGGTATTGATCTGAAGTTATATCAGCTCCTCTCCTGATTATCACGTCTTCCATTATC